CCCCCCCCCCCCCCCCCCCACTGCTTGGGCAATTTCATATCTTAATTAAAAAAATTTTTTTTTCAACGTTTATTTATTTTTGGGACAGAGAGAGACAGAGCATGAACGGGGGAGGGGCAGAGAGAGAGAGGGAGACACAGAATCAGAAACAGGCTCCAGGCTCTGAGCCATCAGCCCAGAGCCCGACGCGGGGCTCGAACTCACGGACCGCGAGATCGTGACCTGGCTGAAGTCGGCCGCTTAACCGACTGCGCCACCCAGGCGCCCCCATATCTTAATTTAATCACTAGCCCCTTACTTGTAGCAAGAATAATTTTCCTGTGTGGTCTCAAACTATTATGGGGCTCCACGGAGCAGGCTGAGGCCACCTCCCAGATGCAGCCCCCTCTACCCAGGGCGCTCACGGCGGCTCAGCAGGGCAGGGGACTGGAGAGGGCTGGGACAGAGAGCATGCCCATTGTCATCACCAGCTGCTGCTTGCAGGGAGGGGAGGGGGACAAAGCTGGCGGCCCAGGAAGGCTGCCTTTGCTCACACGGTCAGGGAGGTCTGGGAAGACCCCTTGAGAAAGTGACCTTTGAGCTGAGATCTGAGTAGAAATTACTAGGCATCAGAAGCGGATGGGGGCAAGAGAGGGCCTAGAGCTCTCTAAGCAGAGGGAACTCTGTGCAAAGATTCTGGGCGTGAAGAAGCATTGCACGTGGGAGAACTGAAGGCCTCCTGGCTAGGCTGAGGCGCAGAGCAAGCAAGGATAGGGTGGAAGGGGGTCAGCAGGGCGACCCAGGTCAGGCTTGGCATCACCCTGTAGGCCCCACCCACCTCTGTGGTCTCTCTTCTAAAAAACCTATTTCAGGAGACGCAGCGGAAGGTTAGGGTGGTGGCGGAGGTAGAAATGTGGAGAAGGGGACACACGTACTTGGAAGATGTTTCCAGCAGGGTGAACTACAAGAGGGAGTTGCCCTTTGGGTAGAAGGGGTGTGGGGAGGAGGTGTCAGGGTGCTGTCCACGTTCTGACCTTCCAGAGAGGGGCTGCCTTCGCTGCCGTCTGCGCGGTGGCTCATCGCCAGTGTGAGCCCTGGGTGCCGTGCTGTGCAGCTGCACACCTTAATGTGGTCTCTTTCTGAACACAGAGGCATGTCTAGGGAGAGCATGAGTGAGAGCTGGAGGAGAGAGTGTTTAGGCAGTGGGGGCCCCGAGAGGACGCCTGCGGAGAGGTGCACCTAGAAGGCCTGGGTGAGGGGAGGAGGAGGAAAGAGGGACTAAGGACACTGAGGTGGAAGACTCTGGATATTGATCAGAGATTGGAGGAGGGAAAGGGCGGTGGGGGAGGGAGGAGGATGGGGGAGGGGAATCAGAGATGAGGGGGTCAGAGACTGGAGGGGGAAGGATGGGGGAAGGGGGATCAGAGATGGGGGAGGGGGGATCAGAGACTAGAGGGGGAGGATGGGGGAGGGGGGATCAGAGACTGGAGGGGGGAGGATGGGGGCGGGGAGAGTCAGAGATGGGGGGATCAAAGACTGGAGGGGGGAGGATGGGGGTGGGTGGGGTCAGAGATGGGGGA